CGAGGAAAACAGGTCGAACAATTTTATAATTATCATTTTTTCTAAAAGTTTATTCCTTGAAATATTAGACACAGCTTTTTATTACATGTTTCAAACTTGGCAGAGGTCTTACGGCTCATACAACTTTAAAATATAAACCTATACTTTTAATAATATTATTATACACAATTTCTAAATTATACACAATTTATAATATTATCATACACAATTTATTTTTTATGACAACGGTTCCCCTTATTAGATAATAGTAAGTCATAACTACCATAACATATGCATTGTTGAATTATTTTCAAATTTTACAGGCAATCTTGAGACTTCATCCTTTCTACAGATTTCGAATTGTTTCGAACAAATCAGTTCAATATACATTATTTCGCTTATTAAAGTTTATAAACGTAAGCGTTCAAATACTTACGCGAGCCGCTGCATTAATTGAAGAGCACAAGAACAAATCTGATTAAAAATCTTTTTTATCTCGCATCTTTTAAATTCATACGCGAGCATTACGCAATGCCTGTAATCCCGTAATCGTTTCGATCAGTTTTCTCACGCTCGTCGAAGTTTCCAAATCCCCGCGACGAGATAAAACTTGAAGCGCGTGGCATGTATGCACCGCGATCGAACGGTAGCGTAAACGTTTTTTTTTTGTCGAGATGGGAAAAACCGTGTGACGGCAATAAATCCTGTTTCGCGGAAGCCGGCGCGCGCGGAGGAAAATATTGTCTTATCGCGTTGCCGCGAGCGGCGAAGAGCGTAGAAAAATATTTCGGACCGTGGGTGAGGTGTCGAAGCTAATGGCGAAGCGCTGCCAGATGCATTGCGCGCGTGTGCACAGATTTATTTCCATATTGGCGAAAATGATTTCTGTACTCTGCCGAGATTCTTCCTTTTTCCTTCAGAAGAATTTCCAGTATATACGTCCTGTTTCTTCGTTCTATTTCCGTCTCCGTCGCCTCTTTGTCTCTTTTTGGTTTCATAACGCGGACAGGAATTAATTCGAGATTATGTAAATGAGAAATTGGGTGGTCCCGGGAATTACGAATACCCGAGTTGGGAGAGAGCAAGGAGCAGTTTCGCGATTACAAAATGGGATGGAATTAATTAGCGTCAGGTAGAAAGATCGCCCGCTGTAGACAAGTCTGTTTTGAGGGACTCGGGATTTTTGTTAGCTACGCGGAAGATAAATATCTACAGGATTATAAGGAAATCTTATCGAGGTTCACGTGGTGACAGAGGCAAAAGCAGTACATCAACGTGTCTCGAAATGATATATATATATTTTGTAAACTTATTATCACCATATTTTGTAAACTTATTATCACCAAATGTGCCAGCCTTTTCAAGGTCGAGAGGCATGAAACAAACGATTACTACTACGATAAAAAAACCTCATCGATTAAATGTTTATTGCTGTTTCAGAGAAGCGAAGGACTCAGTTAAAGAAGAAGGCGAAAGAAAATGAACGCGAGGCGATGGCTGAGATGAAGGCAGACGACGAAGAGAAAGAGCAAGAGACTCTCGCTCGAAGCAAATCGTTCGTCGTCGATAATAAATCGTTTAGACAATTATCTGATTACATCGCGCAGATCCCACAGCCGCCACGCGCGGTTAGGCGCAGGATTTTAGAGGCAAAGGATGCACCACCGCGGATTCTGCGAAAGGAGCTCAGTCTGGCGAAGAAGGAAATGCGCGCCTGGCAGGAGAGTGCGACCGCGAGAACTCTTACTACGTGGGCGAACGAGGAAAAGTTGGAAGCTCGCATCCCGAAGAAGATAGAGATCGTGGTGGATGCGGAACACGATTCGGAAAAGAGTACAGCTTTGCTGGACGACGTCCAGAGAGACGCGAAGAAGCTTGACGCACGGCCGGTCTTTGCAAAGAAGAGGGCACGCATACGTAAGGCGAAGAAACCGGTGCTTACCGAAGAAGATATCGAGAGAATCAAAGAGGAGAAACAGAAAAAATTATGGAGGAAGTTGAAGCAGAAGGTGAAACGATTCGACGAGCAGCATAAAGAGCAGAAAGTGTCCTATCCGCGGATATCGGCTGCCTTCGTGCGGACCTCGTCGGACGAGTTAGTGACGGATAACAGTAAAAACGAGGTGTCGGCAGATTAACACGGATTACGAGTAACAGTCGAGTCAGAAGTAAAAAATTGTAATACAGATGCCTGACTCTGTACAAAATCAATGCAACGCATGGGAAATTGGTAGAATACAGTTAAACGAATCTTATCAATGAAGAGTGGAACTATTAGCTATTCACCGAAGGAATTCCTACGCGAAAGTATTACTTTTAACTATTGGCAACTGATCAGGAAGCGGCGGAATACAACGGTAAATAAATCTGATGAAAAAGTTTTGAAGAGGAATTCGAGGTGGAAGAGGCTCGGTCAAGAATCTCTAGCTCCTTCCGACGTTATTACGTATTCGTTGAACGGCGAATCGGCCGGTAGCGCATGGCAATGGGCTAGGATCTCGTTGGAAGAACGGTGCGACCTAGCAGCGAAAACTTTTCACGTTCGTGACGCCGGAAATTCGCCCGTATCTCGGTGACAGCATCAAATTCTGGTTAGGGGAACAGGTGGTTCGTACACGCTCGAACGAGGAAATTATTGAACGCGACGAAAAAGGGATACACGGAGTAAAGTTCGATCTATTCAAAGGGGAAACGTTGATCGTTTTCCATTTGTTTTTTTTTTTATTCGTCGGAGATCCCGATGACAGGTTTTCATTTATTGCCGAGCGGGCTTTGAAGCAATCGCTCTTGCGGAAGTTACACGCGGAACTTAGCTGGAAAACGTGCAAGATAATCCGTGTGGAATTGCGCTTGAATGAACGACCAAACTTGCGTCGCGAAGAAACTTCGTTCCGTTTTCCGTTTCTCGGTTGATGGCGATTCGTCGCAGGCTGGAGAATATCCTTTTGTCTGTAACGAGTATCGCCTGGATTCCTTCTTATTAATTTAGTATATAAACGATCACTGTATTGGAAAGTAAAATTTAGATAATTTCCGAGTTGTTTTTTACGAAGAGCTCCTCTAATTATCGTTACTGGACGATGTTCATTACTTTTTATTAAATACTTCCAAATTTTTTTAATAAAATTGATAAATAATAATTTTTTTCAAATGATAGTTCTTATTGATTCACTCGAGGTATATTTAATCAATGTTTACCACTTTGGAAATCAAAAATCAAATAATTTCCAGGTCATCATTCATGGAGACTCTCATTATTGTCATTGATCAATGCTCAGTATTTATTATTAAGTATTTTCAAGTCGACATATTTTATTATTCTTACCTGAATATACTGTGATTTTTAATTATCTGGATTTTTTACGATGTTTCATTGTAATATTGCATTAATTAGTTTTATAGTAAAAAGAAAACAATTGTAATTAGTATTATGTAAATTCTATAATAAAAGCTGTTTTAGTAAAAAAGTACTGTCATTTGGATTAATTATTTCCTACAATAAATTGTACACAGTGGACTTGAATAACTTCGAAAAGCCCATATGACTTTCTCGTACGAAATTGTGAGTAGAATGAATAAAATAACACAGGCATGTAAATATATATAATTTAGATATGTGAAGTGATGAAATGTAGAATTGTTATAAATATTTCTTGTCTAGGCTCTTCATGTGGAAGCCAGGTAGCCAGGAATCTCTATTATATTTCCAACAAGATTGTATCTTCCAAGTGTGTACATGAATAAAATTTAATGACCTACTAATTTTTGATGAAATCGGATCTAACTAGTAAGCAAGAATATTCAACGAAATTCCTTTTTTGACATAAGCTTATATGGGCTTATCAATTTTTATCCGAGGCTATTCAAGTAAAGAGCACTATATCTAATTCTAGTAATTATTTACATGTAGATAGTAATGTAAATAAATAATAGAAATCAGGCACCGGTTTTACAGGTCTATAATATTCAGAAATTGGTTGACTTAGCGAATATCAAATCGATGGTGAACATTTCGGACAACGAAACGTGCCGCTGGCCATCTTTCCAGCTTTGCCTAATCCGGGAAATGGATCAAAGTTCGCGATCCGATTTGGATTAACCCTCGAACCTGGCGAACGGAGGAATGATTACCCGACACAATACTTCGGGATCCGCGGAATGTACCGGGTATAAAGCCGTTTCGATGGCCCCAGTCGCAGTGTTACTTACACACACACACACACACACATGCAGAGAGATATAACGAGAGTATGGCGCAGAGATAGAGTAGTACCAAAACCGAAGGGTGGGGAAAACCAAAACTCGCCTACAAGGTTCGGTTCGATCTCGCCATTCCGATTCCAATTTTGCCGGCTTATCCGGTCGGAGAAAAAAGATCCAGTCGCTTGAAACAATCGGGATCTCCTCCTTTTTTCTCCCCGCCCCCCCGTTCCTCTTTTATTCTTTGCCGCCGCTTTAACGGGCGCGCGTTCGACCGAGAACGAGGAAACCGACAAACTGGACGTACGTGTGCATTAGCTGATGAGAGAGCAACGGTTTATCAGGCTTTTCGAGAGTTACGCAAGGGTCAGCGAGAGAGGGAGGGGGTGGGATCTGCAAAAAAAAGGGATTGATCGGAAATAGCTGGGAAATGTGGAGGTCGGCGACGACGACAAATGCTGTTATCGCTCAAACGTTAACTATTCGGTTACAAAGCAAGCACGACTACCCAATTTTTTTTTAATCAAACTCATGTTTTATGCACTTTCTAAAAAGGTTTAAAGGAATAAAACAGAGATAAGAAACGAAGTTGGATCGCAAGGGGAATGGTTTAAAAATTTATAGACTTATCTGGTTTTATTGAATCAAGAATATCGAAAAAGGTAAAATCCGGGAACAAGCGTCTCTGTTTTCTTAAAGTATTAACTTACAAAAGGAAATTCTTTTACTCGGTGAGACGTGACGTGAATGCGATTGCGCGTGGGATCAAACAGCGATGGTCAATAACGCGAAACGATCGATTCGTTAAGACAGAATGATTGCATCAGCGGTTCTTGATGAACCAAGTATTAGCAAAGAATTGAGAAGCCTTGATTACAATCTTCTGTCGGCTGTTCTCTCTCTTCCTTTTTACTTCTGTATCAATTGACTGGTTCAGGTTTATAGATTGCTTGTTACAACGATTTCACCGCGACTTGACGGGGAAAATTATTGAGAGAAACAAACGGATATACCCAACGGCGCAACTGAATTCTCGATAAAGATAGACATACGTTTCATCTGGTTTAATAAATGACATTTTTACGTGATTGAAAAGTTTTGATTGATTGTTATCAAATGTTTTGATTGTTATTTCGATATAAATTACGTTTTATAGAATACTATCGTTCCACGTCGCGGTTTCGTTCGCGTATTTTCTCTCGTTGATCAAACTACTGTATGAAGAGGTAAAAGTCGGAGTGGTGTAATTCGTTCTTCGGAATTGAAAGGTACCGGGAATGGTACAGCTGCTCTGTTAACATGCCCACATTATCCTGCTATCACTTTGCAAGGTAGATGAGTTAGGACTCACTTCATCTTTTATTTAAACGTATTACCATTCGTAGCGCAAATCGCAAGTTGGTTGAAAAGTGACTTACACCATTAGGCTTTTTTTTCTTTCCTTTTGGCCTTCCTCATATGAAAGCATAGAAGGCATTCCATCTCGGAGACTTTTCTCAAGGACGTACTGATTTTTATGAAATTTTATTACGTACGTTACAGCATTCTTGTTAGATATTTAAGATGATGGTGTATATAAAATACTCTTAACAAATATCTTTGTCAAAATCTGTTTGCTGGAATGAATTCTCTATTACACAAAAAGAAGGATTTTATTTGCGAATATATCAAAAAAAGATTGAAACATCATCACGAAGCTATATTTTTCTTATCTAGCTTACATGTCCAGAAGAAGTAGAGCAACATTTTCATTATTCCTAATAGTATCTTTTGTTGTAAAAAATACATTGTATATTTTGAGTAGTTTTTGAGACTTTTGCTAACACAAAAACGCTTTTCCATTATACATACATGCAATAGTCAGATATTGATGTAAGAATAGAAATAGTAGGTATGTAATATGAATAGTATTGAAATATCGGTATTCAATTTATGTATGAAAATTACTCTGAATATGGAAAATTATGAAATAAATTGACTGTATCGAACTGACATAATTATGTAACAATGTTAATCTGTAATTTTAAGCAGAAGAGGACATCAGTAGAGTAGAATTACTTGGGAACCGTTAGACACTCGATAAAAACCGATTGAAAACTAAGCGCGTTGAAGTTAATGAAGTTTCTCTCTCGTGCAAAGTTAACGGATCAGTTGGTCAATAACAAAAGCTCGACTCGAAAGGCAGCCATTTGTACCTCAGCACGAAGTGCTTTTGAGACTCAGATACGATCTAATTAGCCATCGAGAAATGCAAAATCCAGAGCAGAAGCGATCGATTTTTAGTCGCTAAGAGAAATCATTGTGCTTGCCGTTCCACGTCGATCGTCCATTCTGAAAATTGATACTATTTCAAAAATCTCTTCACTCTTACGTATAATTTTTTATCTGGCAAAATAAAACGTGAATTAGAATAAAACTGTTAAGCTCGCCGTTTCGTATCGGTTCTGAAAATTCTTACTGTTACAAAAATGTTTTCAATATTACGTATAATTTTTTATCTTCCAAAATAAAACGTGAATTAGAATAAAAAATTATCGCCGATTTCAGGTAATCCCCCGGCTTTTAATTTTATAACAAAAACCATGCAATCCGGCAGACGATGCTTTCAAACGTTGATTCATTCGCGAGGAACGATAATCGTTCAAACATTTGTCTGTCATTATTTAACAAACTCTTTCCCACAATGAAGTTTTGTTCAACGAGTTCCGAGCGTAGAGTTCAGGCGGTCGATTTGAAAATCGTGGCCATGTTCAAGCCAGGAAAATCTCGAAATGGCAATGATAAAGTTTGGTCCGCGCTAATCCGTTGCTCCGTGTTTATGCTCGATTCACATGCTAAAGAGAGGAAAGATCCTCTTGGCGACGAATGGGGAGAGGCGGAAAGGACGAACGCCAGAAGAAGGAAGACGTTCGCAACCGGCGAACGCACAGCGTGAATCTTCAGTCGAGTTTCCCCCACCCCGCGCATGTTTGCCGAAACAAGGCAAATATCATTCCAGGCTGGCAACTTTATTCGCTTCGTGAATCTCCATGAATCTTTCAGCACCTGCCGTCACCGTCGCCGCTCTTATTCTCTTCTCGGTGAACCAGCCCCGCGGAAGCGTTGCAAACACGCGAATTATCGTGTCAATCCACAGCTCCGACTGCGGAATCACCAAGGGAGAGATTTAAGGCCCGCACGTTACTTATGACAGTCTCAAGATTTTTCTATTGAATCAGGTTAGAGCCTGGTTTCACCAAAGATCTGTTTTTCCATTCACCACGCTAACCGCTAAACCTAAGTTTTTCGCCTTTCTTTCTGTTCAGCCGTCAGACTTTTAATGATATTCGTTAAAATTTATTTTGTTAACAAGTAATATATTTAGGTACTATTCTTCTATTATAATTTCTAAATTATTTAAAATGTATTAATAGAAGAATATAATTTTTTAAATTGTATATAGTCACCGGTGACTGACAAAGCGCTTAACATGTTAAATCCAAGGCTCCCGATATTTTCATTACCATCTATTATTTGGCAAACTATGGTTAAAAGAATTCATTAGTTTTATCATATTAAAATTATATTAAGTACTCTTTTGAAACGTGGTTAGAAAAGACACTGGTAAAAGCATCCCTGTGCTAATTTCTCTGATGAACCAGGTCTCGGTTGTCTCTTTGGAGAATGGAGGTGAAACGAGTGTACGTGAAAACTCGCGCCGAGTTTGGGAAGCAATGCATCTTCGATCTGTACGGTCCAAACCTGGACGTGGATCTCTCGCCGTCCCCTGCCCTGATGCACGATTATATCAGGAGGACTCACTGTCACGTAGGAGTGCAGCACTCGAAGCAATTCGCGTTGCACCAGGTTAGGTTGGCGTCATTAAGGAGATTGCCAGTTGCCTCTCTGGAGGCATTCATAAATGTATCGACATCTGCCTTGCGTTCCGACTGATTGTCTGAATCCGGCGCGTACTCGCGCTTCGAAATGGCTATGCTTGATCACGAGATGCACGCAAGATTCTCACGAACTACTCATCAATTTTGTTTTATAATGTTTCGTGATAGAGAAAATTACAATAATTGAAACAACTAATAATAATTAAAGCTGTTTAGTTTGTAATTGCAGTAATCTCCGAATGTATGGTCACCCGTCGGGACCTGGCTTGGTCATATGCTCGGAGCGGCGGATTTCATGAAATTGCTCGTTGTTCGAGCGCGCAATGTGGGAAAAACAATATCGACTATGCGAGAGACAACTATAAGAGACGATGAATAAATATAGACTCAATATTAGCAATAAATGTTTTAAACAAAAGTTGTAGGTATTATTATCACTTGCAAATAAGATTCTATACAATTTTCTTTTAACACTAATAATTTGTGAGTAATCATCATAAGTAAGAAACTTATTCTCCAGTATAGAATTTTTTTACATAGATTACCTGTTTGTTGTTAATAACTTGTTAATTATTGATGCTAGCAACAAGTGGTTTAAACAAAAGTTATAGTTATTACTATCACCTAAAAGTATGGTCGTATATAATATTTTTATAACTTCAATAGCTTTTGAGTAATCGTCATAAGTATCAAAGTGATTCCTCAGTATAAGATTTTTTAGTTGGAATAGTAATTTACTGTTAATAACTAGCTAAGTATTGATCCTAGCAGAAAATGTTTTAATGAAAAGTTGTAGGTACTATTATTACCTACAAATAAGATTCTATACACTTTTATTCTAACTGCAATATTTTCTGAATAATCGTCATGAGTATGAAACTGATGACTGAGTATATGAAGAAGAATAAGCACAGATACATAAGGCCCGAGACTTGCGTCAAGCGAGCACTTCCAAGAATTGGTGCCATATATTCGAGGAAAATGTGCCCATATATCCGGAGATTACTGTATTTGTATTCCTTCATTCAGATATTTTTGCCATTTTGTTGAAAACTAAGTATATCAGTAATGAAACTCCTAAATGAATTTTCTTTCATCAAATTTTCATTCATTCATTCCATTTTCTAATTACGTCAACTTGCTTAAAAATAAATTATGATTTCCTCGTGAAGATAAATTGCTTTGAGCATTTCATAACAGAGAAGAGGTGGGTACGTCGACAGTCAGCTACTGAATTAAGTGTCTTTATGTTCCTTATTGTATAAAAGTAAAAAAGCGCAAGCGAGCGTAACGGAAAATTCGCGTAAATTGTAGTAGTGATCCGCGGCGTTACTTTGAAAGCTCGTAGCGGAAAAGTTTATTCAGACGCGGCAGCGCTGCGCACAGGCTCCTGTGTTATAACAACAAAAGTAGTATTAACTTGTTGAAAGCTCTCAGTCAAACTGATACGAATCTGACGGGTCCACCGAGAACTTTGTTACTTGATAACATCGAGCATGCAATTTAGCACGCTGCTTCTGCTACTAGTATTCTTTCCCTGGTTTCTATACAGAATTTCGATGAAGCGCTCTACTCCCAGCGATGCAATAATTTATAAGAAAATGCTGAAGATTTCGGATAGTGTACGATGCACCTTTATACCGATTCTCCGTTTTAAATCGTTTTTAAACAGAAAAGTTTATTCGATAAACACTTGCGAAATTGCGTATCGCTTTCGGAATTATGTAAATATTTGATTCTCAAGTATCACCAATGATTAAGTATTAACCGAGAATTCTCCCTCAGGAAATTCTCTTCAGGAATTTAAAATAAAAAGGAGCTCTCACCCAAATGGGAGTATGTAGAAGGTGTCTAATTTATTTGGAGAAAAACAGACGGGGAACCTTGCGTGTGTGTCGGACAGATGTGGAAAAGCAGTAATCGGTATTTGATTGCATGGAACATTGCATTATGCATACGGATTAATCGCCGTGCGATGTGCACGCTAGATGATTTACCCATTAACAAGCGGTAGAATCTCGCGAGCGGAATATCAATTGGGGTGTTAAAAACGAGCTTTTTTTGTCCTCCGTGGGCGCGGTGTTGCGATAAATTTTCGAAAAATCGTCAAAATGTCACATAAATTATTCCGCGACTACCTGCGTCCTGTATATTCGCTTTAAATGCTCTATCTTTTTACGCTTTTTAACGTTACTACTATGGACATTTAGGCTCAAACCGATCGGAAAGAGATAAAAAACAGTGGGATGTATCATTACGAAGGCGGTTGGCCTAAGGAGGTCAACCCGAAGGACGAGGAGGCCACGATCAGATTTCGAAGGAGAATTGAAAAAGATGACAATTGGGCACCGAAATTGCGGAACTTGTTCAACGTGAGTCTCCCATATCTTACTATTATACAGGATGGGCCGGAAATCGTACAAACGGGCAGGGGGTGATTCTACGTTAAAAAAGAAGAAAATACCTGTCACATACACATACCTATCGTGTTATACGAGGGTTACCTACATTATTTAAGATGGTACCAAAGTAAACTGCCAGTGGTAATACTAAACGGCACTCAAATGTAAAGATACAAGTATATGTATAGATATAGTATATTAGAGTGCGAGAACTGTCGATAGATTTAGTGTTAACAGGTCGAGAAATTTTCGAAATGAAATTCACTGCAGATGATGGAGCACAGTGTCCTTCAGAACGGCACCATGGACATTTATGAACACTTTTTTGACGATATGATACCCAAACCGCTGGTACAGCCTTTAGGTTTCAGGTGAGCAATCATAAACTTCAAAGATTAACTTTCTTGGCTAATTATCTCAGAGCGAAAGACCTGTTTCTCAAAAGTTTTCAAATTGCTTTCGAATTAAATTCGAAAGTTGAAAGGAAAATAAATAAGTCATGCCATGTCGCTATAACTCGTTTTTACGAGAGCAACAGATTTCCTGTTAAAAACGTTTTAATTTCCTGTCCGATCGATGTTCCGATCGCAAGCCTGAAATTCACTATAAATTGGCCCGATTCCGAGGGAAAATTGCTGTTATAATTACACTTACACATCACTTTCGGCTTCAAACAAAAAATGAGAAGCGTTGTCATGCGTACACTACAAGCGCCGTGTATGTGCGAGATGTGATCAAAGAGCATCCTTTAAAACGCTCATGAAAGTTTCAACATGCTTTAACGAGTTTCATACCATACCAATCTAACAATTAATTCACGCTCATTAACGTTTCATTAAATCGTGTCCGCCATGCTCGTTAAAATAAATCTCTAGTAGCAAAATACATCTACACAATCATAAGTAGTTGATAATAAAAGGTAAATAGTTGATAATAAAAGGTATTAAGGGATACTGAAAATGCAAGCACTGACAAAAATTGTCAGCGATTTCAATTGATGAAAGTCGATTACTTTCAAGGACTGTGAACGTGTATGCAGATCCGGAGAGGCCAAGAAGGCCCGTGACCTGCATTTCCACGTCACCGGATGGGGGTAGCAGGCTGGCGATCTCCTACTGCTTCCTGGATTACGGAACGACGCTAGATTATAGTAAAAGGGTGTACATTTGGCAGGTCGGTAGGTAGAAGAAAAGCTGTTGGAACGTTTTCCCGGAATTGCTTAGTCCTATCTGTTCCACTTCCATTGCATTAGGAATATTTGCTATTTACATCTTCCTTTTTGCATTCGTATAATACAAATTGGCGTTTTAAATTTTGTAACTGCTATGATTAGACTGCAGTTTTTATGCATTTATAATAGAAGCAAATGTACATAAATTATACATGCTGAGCGTAGTCTATAATATAATTTCGAATATTGAAAGCTAAATGCATGTTTTACTATTTAAATGATAAATGAACCAATTGTCTACCTGCTTGTCTAAGCTGCTACCATGAATGTTCTATTATGCATAAGGATTCGCAGTCTAGTTATTACAAAGCTTGATACCACATTTTATTTTATATTTTTTATATTATATTCAATATTCGTATTTATACAGTTTTAAACAAAAGTTATTCATTCGCATTATACCTTTTTATTTTTTCAACGGATATTAATCATCATTTTTTTCTTTTTCTTCTTGTTTTTTTTTATATTAAATTTATTTTATACATGTTCTATTCATATAGTTCACCAGATATTACCAGCTCGATTTTCGTCTCTATTTTTATACGTAGCAAAGAATGTTATAATGTGGAATAGTCATCCCCTGCCCGGTTGTACTACGATTTCCGGATCACCCTGTATAATAACGAAAGTCGAGGTAGTAGTATCTGGTGAACTACTCTACATACGGTATATTTAATAAGGTATTATTATTTTTGTTGTTAATAATATAATAAAATTATTTTACTTTTATTATTTTATTGAAGAATAACATCCAGTATTGTTAATAATAATACTTCTTATTATTGATGGTAATAATACTTCTTATCTTTGTCAATAATAATACTTCTTATTATTAATAATACTTACTATTATTAATAATAATAGTAATTTAAGGGCGTATTCACTGCTATCGTTTATAGAATACAGCATTTTTATGCATGGCTATTATGATTATTATTATTAAATATAATGGCTATGCATGAAAATGGAGTATTCTATAAACCGTAAATGTAAATAGTAAATTCGTTTATAAAATCCGCTTCCGTCTGGAGGAACGTGCAAAATATTGTTCGTGGTGTACATCCACCTGTGATGGTGAAGAATTCATCACGAATCGAATACGAAAAATACGTCACGCGGATGCGGAAGCTATTTTTTTTCCCCGTTTGCAACGCGTTTAAATCCGGATTATGAAAACTGCCTTCGTCATTTCGCGAACAGAAAATCCGACCGAGCCTTACATGGCGCTCGATCCCTTTACCCCGTGCGTGGCTCTCGAGTTTAATCCGCGGGATCCTTCCGTCCTTGCCAGCGGCCTTATGACGGGCCAAGTATGCAGCTGGGATCTCAGAACCGCACACTCTCCCGTACAATCCTCTCATTTGCAATTCAGTCACAGGTAAGCGACGCGAAGCGTCGATTCCACCTGACAAACTTTACCTCTGACGGTTTTTAGTTCGCGTTTGTATTAAACAAAAAAACTAATTGATAAAAAGATATATGTTTGAAAATTTATTCCTATTAGCCGATATCGATAAATAAAACTTTTCCATCCACCCATTCATTTTTTACAACTTCTGCAGAAAATTACTCTTAGTTGAAATGTTTAATTGTTTCAAGGAGTTTGCTAAAATGCGATGAATAAAATAATTTTATCCGTCTATTCATTTTTCACAACTTCTACAGTAATCAATTTCTGGATAATACATGTAATTGTTTCAGGGAATTTGTTCATTCGATAAAATGGATATCGACGAAAACGAATACGGAATTCTTCTCGGCGTCGACTGATGGTCGGGCGATGTGGTGGGACACGAGACGACTTCGGGAACCGATCGAGGTGCTGGTATTCGACCTCGACTATCCAAACGAGCCACACATGGACAGGGCCATCGGTGTATCCTGTTTGAACTTCGGCCCTATGGTCGGTACCAAGTTCATGTTCGGACTGGAGAACGGTACGGTGATCACTGGCTCGAGGAAGATGAAGACGAACGCAGAGAAACTCGCGGTCAGATATGAGACGCACTTTGGGCAAGTGTACTCGGTGGACCGCAATGTGCTCAATCCGTCATTATTCTTGACCGTCGGTGGATATCGGGCTCGTGTCTGGTCTGAAGACACCAGGGAGGGAAATATATTTTCCACTCCGTATGTTAGTTTTCATAGGATATTAATGTGTCTCCTTTCATCACTTCTTCTATTCCTCCGTGATCTTCTTTGTTCAAATTAGAGTCCTCTAGTCAAATGGCAAAATATGAACGTGTTGAACGTTTTTATGTATGTGTGCGAGGCGAGTCCAGGATATAGCGAGCCATTTGTCCAGTACTGTTCACTTGGATAGCCTTCTCGTAGGAAGTTTCATGTAATATGAACAAAATAATTAATGTACATAATTTAGATATGTAAAACGATGAAATGTAGAATTGTTGTACATATTTTCTCTCTTATCTATCGCAAAGCATTAACTAATTGCGATTAAACACTTGAGGTTGTTCATGTGAAAGTTAGAAGACTTCCAACAATAATATGTTTCCAAGTGTGCAGATTAATATGAACTAATATCATTTATTAATTTATAATGCAAACGGATCTAACTAGTAAGCAAGAATATTCATTAAAATTCCCTTCTTTGAAATACCTAAGGTCATTCAAGTGAGGAGAACTGTACGTTTATTGTCGATGAAATTGAAACAGTGATCTTCGGTTGTATACTGATTATACAGGGTGTTCCAGAAAAAGGGTTAGAGCCGAGGAGAGGTGATTATATCTGTGTTTTTGAATAACAATTTCCTTTGGTAAAATGCAAAGTGATCCGTAGTTTTTGAATTATTAACGAAAAACACTGACCAACGAGAGCACGCGTAGGACCCGCGCCCAGCCACGGGTAGGTTGGCTCGGATTGCGACGCTCGGCAGTAGCTCAGCGCGGGCCTTACGCGCGGTCTCATTGGTCAGCGTTATTTCGTTAATCATTCAAAAACCGTGCCTTACCTTGCATTTTGCCACACGAAATTGTTGTTCAGAAACACTTACAGAATCATTTCTCTTCGGGCCTAACACTTTTTCTGGGACACTCTGTATGACTGAATGCGAATGATACTCGATCCATCATAAGTGATAAGAAGTTCAATCGCGAGGGGTTAATTATCATCTAGTCCGAACAGAAGCAAGCTTTTTAAACGCATATTGAATACATTTCACTAATGCTTATGATGCATGTAAGTCTACTGCCATTTCGGCAGATATTTAACGGATTACCCAACGGCCGGTTGCTGGAGCAAGTCGAGATACTCCGTTTTCTATGTGACTACCATCAGCGGACGCTTGTTGGTCTGGGACGCCCTGCAACAGCTACGAACACCTGTGTTCACGTTGCAATTATGTGACGAGAAGCTCACGGCTCTTTCGCCATTCGAGGAAGGAATTTTTGTGGCTTTTGGCAACAGCGTCGGCAGCGTGTACCTCGTCGAACCGACGGAATTCTTTGCGTCGTTCGAAAAAAAGGATAGGACACTCTTTTCAGAGGTAAACAAGCATGAAATAAAGCCTCTCGTACGCTTTCACTATTCTTCAAACACATGCATGAAACCTTTTTTTATCACTGCTTTTCTCCTAGTCTTGGAACTCTCAAAATAAAAATTTCTTGAATCTCCAATTCGCCAATCTATTCGAGTGGAAATTTGACATTAAACCGACCACTACCGATCAGATTGATCGTTTTCAACATTTTGTGCATTTAACTACCCTTAATTCTCTTTTTAAGTTCATAACTGAAATTAATATAAATATTTCGTGTCGTCATTTTATGAAAGTTATTCATTTATTAATTCATTCTGTAACAAATCGACAATGGTCTACGTATAATTATAAAAACAATAATAATAAAACGTACGCATCCCGGCTAAGATGAGACAGGATACAAAGTATTTCGTCTATGTCTATAATGTCAAATCACTGGTGCTATATACAAGGTGTTTCAAAACTAGTAAAAGATATTGAAATGGGAGGTTCCTGACGTAATTTTAAACAACATTTTCCTTAGCGAAAAAGTTGTCCGAGGCGTGGTTAAAGAGTTATTAACAAAAAATCCCCACCAATCAAAGCGCTCGGTTGGCGCGAGCTCCGGCTCGGGAGCGTTGGTTCGCATTCGGACGCACGGCCTATCAACAATCTATCATTTCTCCATTCATTCCATTTGAATAACGATTAAATGTATTAATTGTTATTAATTTCCTTGAAATTGTTATTCATGTAGTTTATTATTAGTCATTTTCTTAAAACGCTTCGTATTTAGCGGAGCGGTTGTTTACGTATCAAAGGCCGGGCGTCCGGATCCGAGCCAACGCTTCTGAGTCGGAGTTTGCGCCAATCAAGCGCTCTGGTTAATCGGGGTTTTTTGTTAATAACTCCGCAACCACGCCTCGGATAACTTTTTCGCTAAAGAAAATGTTGTTTCAAATTACGACAGGAACGTCCCATTTCAATAGCTTACACTAGTTTTGGGACACCCTGTAGGTAACGAGATTTGCCGTGAAAATCGTAAATTGGCTTGTACTAATTCGCGAGATATCTCGTCCAGGATAACGAAACGGTTAATAATATTTCCGACTGTAACTCTTTGTGAGAACGAATGATTTTTCCTTCAGTATTTGGAGAGAAGTTCGAAGCTAACGAAGGCTGTGGACGTGCGATTGAAGGAAATTAAGCTGCAAAAGACGCAGGCCGAGTCGGAAGGAGCAACGGAAGTTTCGCGGATAAAGGAGAGAAAGGTCACGAGGAGGAGCATAACCAAGCCTAAAGACAAGCCTAGGGACAGCAAAACGTCTAAAGCGGACAAAGAGAAGGAAAAAAAGGATAAAATGCCTAAGAAGATTCGAGATGACTTCGATCCAGATCTCGTCGCCGCTGAGGCGAAATATTACGAAGCCGTGCAAAAAGTAAACGCCACAGTCAATTTACAATTCATTTGCATTTATTCATCTCTAGGAGGTCGTCGGACCTCAAATGATTTTAAATTCGTGTTGATTCTTTCAAAATGCCAAGTAAATCGTCGCCCGAGGTAACTAATTGCTCTCTCGTGTCATTAAAACTCCTTACAAATTTTTAAACATTAACAGTATATTATTGGAATTTACTATCAGTATTCAGTAATTTTAATGACAATTGTAGGTACATTTCATGTAACAATTTGATAATTGTAATAGTTCAGTAATATAGCGTGAAACAAATAATTATTCTTTTGTGTCATTAAAACTCCTTTCAGATTTTCAAACAGTAACAATAGCAATTTAATATTAGTATTCATTCGTTTTAATGACAACTGTAGGTACATTTTATATAACAATTCGATAATTATAATGGTTCAGTAATATCGAAACTTTTGTACAGCAGGAATTATGAAAAATCAATTGTTCACGAATATCAAATTCAGAACGTGGCGCACGGGACTTTTTAAAAAAATGAAATTCATATTGAAATCCTATCGGGAATAAACGTTCGATAAGGATCGATTAAATTAAGTGTAGTCAGTGAAAGATTTCAAATCATCCACCATTACTGAAAGAACCTTGCCCTAAACTTGTGTTCTTGTAATTCACCGAGCAGCAATAATCACGGCCCATTCTATTTATCATTTATTATGCACTATGTATGCACAACTACTTCCCCAGTTTCTCTATTTCTCCGCTGTTGCGCCCTGACAGTCATTCCGAAATTCCCTCCATCTAGCCGCTCACAGGGAATACTTTACAAAGCTGGTACGGAGTACGGAGTCCCTTGGGGTCAGTACACATACAATTACTCTCCTCCCCGCTCCACAGTTATGCCATCAATACTGAGACACCGTGTATAGTTAATGTCCGGTATTAGGTGCCGTCCGGCATTAAGGGAACGCCCCTATTAATAAAAAAAACTAATCAAGCTATCATCTTAACTACATCCGTTACCACTAGGGATTGGAAGCATACGCCGACGAAACCGATCCGACGATCATCCCAGTATTGCAGATCCAAGTGGGCGTTAAGAAACCGGAGAAGAAAGCTAGAAGACTGTCCCAATCGCAGGACGAAGACGATAAGAAACACCAACACAAGGAGCATAAAGTTAGGAAATCAATGATTAGGAGGAGAACGCGTAGGACGATAAAATCGTCGATGCGTGAGCCCGACCTGATGGATCAAGCGAAACTGAGCACGGCCACGGAGTCGGGGATCATGCTCACGAAGGATGGGACAAAGAGAAGGAAGAAGCACAAGGCGAAGGTGGTGTCGACGTTACCGGTACCATGCAAAGACGTGGTATGCAAACCGACAGTCTGTTGCCGACTGATGAGGAAACGTAAGAAAGCCAAGAGAAAAACGAAACTGAACGGGGAGAGCGGACCGGGCGAGGAATTAGTCACAGAGGAGACTAGACCGCCGGCTCGAATTAGGTACCGTAAGAGGATGAGCATGCTTAAACGGATGCAATCACCGCCGATGGAACTCGCGAGTGAGGTCGCGCAGGCCAAAAAAGAAATCAAAATGTTAACGTACAGAGGACAATTGAAGAGGAGTTTAATAATCCCGAAACACAAAAGGTAAACGATACTTTATTGCTTTTCATTATTTTTGTTTCACGATTTACAGATTCGGTCATCATAATTTTGTATATAATTTCACGCGTAGGTAAGTTTGATTTATTATTGAAGAAATCAGGGATACGATTTTCGGAGGGGGAATTTGATAAGAGAAATTGGTACCGACAAGTAGAAGAAGTTTAAACGACGTCAACGGACATGCGAATTTTTGGGAGACTCGCCTGAAAGTTCGCTCTCCTCCGTCATGCATAGTCTCGCAATTTGAATTGGTGATGCAAGAAAAACTTTCATTTATTCTTTTCTCGAGAAAACGCGGACAGATCGATCTCTGCAGGAAAAAAAGTTAATCGAAATTCTTCTCCGCGTGTGCCACTTTCATGTTCCCTCCCGCAAACGAGCGAAAGCATCTACATATTACAATATGCATAAGAAAATACACGCTCGCGCGGCTCCTCTTGTCGGTTTCTTATAAATCGAGAAGAGATTGCTCCTTTGCCAAAAGCAAATTGTACAACAGAATTGATGACAAACTAAAATCTAATTCTAATTATTGTTATAATTTAATGGAGATTTATAATCGATGACCAATTAAATATCGTGGTGGCAAGAAATATTTCACAAAAGTGACGATTATTAATATTTATCATGTCCAGCGTCCTGATATCAATTTTCCTTTAACCGATAGAGTGTCCCAGGCGATCAAAAGGAAAGTGAAGTACAGTTTTCCACGCGACGGGATCAAGGGGCCCAAAGGGAGCGAGGACGTGTTGTCGAGCTCGCAGGAGGAGGATAAGGAAAGAAAGCGGAAAGTTATTCTGCAGCCGTGCACGATCCCGAGAGGGAAGACCACCGGGCAACTGTTCTCGGAGATACTGGGCATCCCTACACCGGAATTGACCGAGGAGAAGGTGCTGGGCAGGAAACTCTTGGACAGGCACCGCACTGAACGGGGCAGAGTTTTTCCACGAATTTCGGAGTTCGGTCAACCTTAGTCGACTCCACTGCCATTGCCAACGAGAGTCTCTGCCACTTCGCCGGCTGAAAAGGTACGATGAACGGTTGCATCACCGAGCGTCGGAGATCTCTTCCGTCCAGACTATTATTGATTTAAACGACGATAGAAATAGACGACGTACATTCCTACTCATACCTTGGCAGAGGAAATAATAAGCGAAACAGATATTGTAAGATCAGCACATAACTAAATTTAACTCGTGACATTTTAGCCTCAAGATAAGACTCGTATGCAAAATCTAATAACTTTAACGTTATTATTAAGGTAATTAAGTTTTATGGTAATAAATGTATAGAATAATGGAATTTACACTTAAAAATATACCTGAAAACTTTCAAACAGAATTCGACGTACTCAACATTTTCTCTTACTGTAATTATATATTCAATTTTTAAAGACGAGCTGCAAACAGATATTTTTTGATTGTCCATAAACACAGGAATGAAAACTTGTGAGATTTATGAGCGGGATAATACCTATGTATACATTTAAGTATAGTTTTTATTGCTCCATTTAACTTGCTGTAGATCTCGATTAAAAGACTAAAACGTTAAGCGACTCGCGGTTCGTTAATAAACTGCGTAATTTGGAGCAACGTTTCTTTGCCACGAGTGTAGGTAATTTATTTGCAGCACGGAGACCACAGTTCCATTTTTGCAAACGTTTATCGCTTTTTCCTTTGTTCACCGAGAATTTCAATTAAATTTCTCGCGATTCTGTTCTTTTTTCTTGCGTGCATGGACGGTGTGTAGCGTGAATGCGACAGTTAAGTGAGAAACAAGCTCCATGGGGCAACAGAAGTTCTGCTATTAGACTTAAGAGAGAAGTTACTGTGTATATAATCACGCGAACATTTTGCGTTTGTATTAACTTTGTAAATGAAGATGGAATTAAAGACTTATTTGATTCGTTAATTGGCTGACTTTTGTTACATGAGGTTTCTCATTTGTCATAAATCTTATAGCCTGACTATTTTTCATTCCACTACAATAAACCGTATTAAGTGAGTTCTTACGTGAATTATAAATATCCGAAGATATCGCGACTACTAATTTCATATATTTTCTTCGTGCAACGCGGTAAATAATTATTATTATTATTATTAAGAATTATAGTAAATGCCACAATTTCTATTCATGTTACAATCTTGACATATTTTTCTATAATTTTAAGATTAACGACGACCAGTTTATATATCATAATATATTCTTTAAACCTCTAGCAGATTGTAACTACAGGAAAATAGAGGTACCTCTGATATTTAAAATGACAGACAAATAAGTCAATAAACAGAGATTGAGACGAGAACAGAAATTGGGACATTTATCATACATGATTTTAGAGAAAGGGAGAAGTGCATATTTTATTGTAAACTGTTTTACATTTTTTTAGGTTTCCGAGGTAAACGCTTATAACCACCTCTTTTTGTCTGAAAGTCCGCTTATAATCTACCATACATTTTGTATCACATTTTGTTGGGATAATATTACACACTTCTTTATCTAACATTCGCATATTTCTGATTTTAGAGTTAAATCTGCTTTAGTTGAGCATTAGGTGATCTTCTTCATCGTTACTGGCTTCTTATCTTCCATCGTTACTTTTTTTTTGAACTGTCATTTTGGACGATTCGGACAGTGACTAATAATCAAGATTCTAAAAGTAGAGACATTTTCATTGATTGTGAGTCGAAATACAGACATGGATGAGAAGAATTAACGATGCCGAGTTTCGAGTGACATGAGGAGAAATACGTCCTTCAAGTCTTCATTTTACGAAAGAAATTGATTGTAAACGATATTTTGCCTGATTTATATCTGTGTGAATGTGTATTAAATTTCACAGGTGAATATACTTTTCATTTTAAATTCTGTTCTGCTTTTTATGTTCAGTTAATAGCAAAATTATGTTTAAATGATAACGAGTAGAAATTGTGACACTTATTTTAACCACGTCATACGATAGTCTACTCTAACATATGTAAAAACTGGGAGATTATTTGTAGTAAGAACGTTTTAATTCGAATGTCACTGTATAAACTTTCAAATCCGATTTGTAAACGCGGACAGCTATATAATTAAGATATTTGATGCGCATAGAAGAAACGGTTGCAAGAATGCGAGGAAGAGATTTATTTGGAAAGAAACGGATTCGAGGATGTAAAATACGAGGTCCGCAAAGGTGGTTGGCGGAAATCCAAATTCCGCGGTGCGACGGATGGCGCGGCAAATCTTTCTCTGGAGACTTGAGCTAGATCTCGTCGTAATCACCGATTCCCCACTCCGCGCCGAGAATATTCAATTTCGAGTGCCGGAACAAGTGCGAGTTTAAACGTCGTCGATCTAAGTCGCCAATAGACAGGAAATTCGTTGCTTCGTTTATCGGAACGAGTTTAGTCGCGCATGATTGAAAGATCGAGGGACTCGGGGAAAAAGTGGAATACCTTAAACCGAATTTTCACGACGCCTGACTTCAATTCCTGATGAGCGAGAACTTTTATCGGCGAAGATGCCATTAGGCGATTTTTTGATAATAAGAGAGATAAGAATTTATGGGAACAAAATAACATCGAATCGATAAAAAAAAAACGATAGATTCACTATTTCAAAAGTGTACTAGTAATTGACTCATGTATGACAAAATCGCAAAACCAACAACATGTCTTCGTTGGTTAACGAGTTTGACAAGCCTGTTGTAATATACAAGATCGTGGTTTTACTCTTAATACGCAGCTAACTAAATTCATGGCCTTTTTCGTAACGGCCATATTATCCTATTCATCAATCGTATTTCGTGTTAAAATTAGGGAAGTTAAGAAGTATTGAAAGTGAAAATTAACTTTAACTTAAAAAGTCTACATTACACATAGATTAGCATTTTTATTGCTTTTATCAGCTTTCATTTTTAAAAACGATAGGTAGTTAATATATCCGCCATATGAAATATGCAGTAGGTGACGAAAATGGTATCACCGGAAGAACACATCTTATGTATTTCAACTATGGTTTAACCTTCTAAATTAAAGTCCTACAATTCATAAAATGGCAAAACTGTTAGTCATGAAATGATAGGTGTCGACACTGAGAGTGAGCCTACTGTTCTTCCTTATACTGCGTCAATGCTTTCAATTAAAGCAATATCACACAAGATTTTTCCAAATGCTAAAAATAATTCCATTTATTTATTAATATTCGCAGGCAAATGCTGATTCAATATTACTCGAGGCAGTTTCAAATTGATACAATTTTTTAATACCCTAATGGTTCACCGGAGATAATTGAACCACGGAATCCGACAGTGTTTAGTGAATAACGAGGCTGGGTAACGCGAACGAATTGTGATTGCATCAACTTTTGGGATTAATTGGTCATCGTAATTCGCGACTAGATATCTAGTTCAGTATGCGAACGGCGCAGCCGGTATCGATTGTATTTAATGTTGCCATCGGTGTTCCACGATTAGCGAGTTGCCGGGATTTGAAACAAGCGAGCGTTCCGTACACCTGGACGGCTCTCGCCGTGTATCCATGGAAGAGTACGTTCGATTTAGTGGCTAGGCTGCGTGGCGAATCTCGAATGCGGTCGAACCATAATGCATACATGTTGTATCTTATTAAATTATTAATAAGGAAACGTGAACCAAATTCAAAAACATTTACATTTTTTATATCTGAAATTGTCATTTTTATTTATTATACCATAAATATTTTTCGTTCCGAACTTCTAATTGAATTGTAATCCTTGCTTTTAATAATAATCGAATTTATGCCTCTATGAGATATGCATTTTTTTAAATTACGAACAGAATCGTAACTATTCAAGCAAGGGTAAAAAGTCTAACGCGCACTTTATATACGTTCGATGTCCAACGCGCAGTGGGATATCGAAAAATCCGTTACACGGTGAATTATGTAAATGACGAGTCTCGTTCACGTTCCTCCGTCGACGCTTGACGTCGATTTAATGTCGATTATGACGGCCTCAGACACTCGTGCTGTCCCGGAACGATGTAGATTAACTTCAGCGATCGTTTCATGGAAAGTGCAAAATGTTCGTCTCTACAAAATCGAAATTGCTTTCATGTTCCATCTTTATAGCTCCTTCTGCAGCTGTACTTCACTCTTATAGTTTACCATGAAGAATATTTTTATTTCCTTTTTTATGCTCAAGGGTATGTGTTATTTGCTCTTACTAAAAGAAGTCACTTTGAGTCGGAATGCATTATTTACTCTTACTAAAAGAAGTCACTATGAGTCAGTAGGGTGACGTAGTATTTGTGGCCACTATGACAGTTTCAGTACTATATATAGTATTATACATGTTTTGCTGGTAAAAAATAAATACAAAAAGGAAATGACGAATTTATCAAAATTCAGTAGACAGGAGGCAGTTCACCTACCATAAATGCAGAATTAAGACAATAACCAATAAATAATTAAAAAGGCGAAATTTAATTAAACATGATCCTAATAGTGTTAATAATTTATTAGTGATTATCCATTATACAGGATTATCCATTATACAGGATTATACAGGATTAGGTACACCAAGTAATTAGCTGTTTTTTCAGACACTGTAAATCTTGATATGAACACAGCTTGTGCTTCAACTACTGCCAAAAATAGTTATGAAGAATACTACTTGTGGGTACTAATTGATACCATTGCATTTTCATTATGACACTTATGGTTAGTATTTAATTTCAAAATTAATTTGGATTGTATAAATACTCTTGCATAATTCTTAGCAATAAATGTCATGTAAAATAAGTATGTTAAAAACTTGGTTAATATTCTTATAGAATAGAGTAATTAGTGATTTCTTTAACAGTCATCACCTAAACACCTTTTTAAATGTGCAAAGAGCTAGCGAAAATGAGTACGTTTAGGTACGTTTTTTAATTAAAATAATGGGGCAAGAAAAAGTGGGCAATGATACCATATTTCTGCAGATATATTAATTTTAATGAAACTGTAATATATTAGAATAAATAAGATGCTGGCCACAAATGGTGTAGTGGCTACA